CCCCCCCCCCCCCCCCCCGTTGGTCGGGGGTGTATAAATAGACCCACCACCCCGTCTAAAGGATGTGTAACCCCTCCAATGATGAAGTGTTGCACACGGAGCCCAACCCTCTGGGATCCGGATGCGACACTTACTATGGTGTATCTTCTTCTTCTCCTTCCTTCTTTCTTACTTCTTCTGTCTCTTCTTCCACCGCCGACCTCATGCGGAGCAAAACTAGAAGTCACCAATCCCACAGAGTGGGCGCCTCATTGACCATGAGGTGCGACCCGTGTGGAAGGAAACCGGGTACCTGGCGGTTGAGATGAGATCCGTCTGCGGACTGTCCCTCTCCAACACACCTCTTTGGCCGAGGTTTTCCTCTTAAATGGGAGGGTGGCACGGCCCATGCCACTCAATCGGTTGGGAGCTGAAACCCCTTCAGGCTCTGGGTCACTCTTGACGGGAGGGTCTTGCACACTCTCGTGAAGAATATAGCTCCGGGGTATCCTCACATGGGGCATGTCTTTTTGCTTGGATACAACCCACACGTTGCAGCGTGGACCCAGATAGGTAGGGTCACTGCAGCCCACTTTGTGAATTTTGTCTTATTTGTTTTAATGGATTGGGATATGCTTAGACTTTAAATAAATTACAGAATATGTGTGTTTGTTGTGTCTTTGTTGGACTATCCTTTCGCCTCTCATTTGAATGTTTACCTTTGAGAATCCCTGCTGGAAGTTCAGTTGTCTCACGGAATCAGCTAGTGTGTTAGGATTCCTTTTTTAAAATCCAGATTCTTTAACATCATCAAACCTATGCTGCTTATATAGTCAAGGAATGATTATAAGAGCTTAAACTTTTGGCACTTGTTACTGTCATTTTCAAGGAAATAGCGATGAGGTAGTGGTTTGGAAGGGGGGGGGGGGGCAAATGTTAGCATAGTGTAGGTCATAAGATTTATTCCTAATAAATATAAGTGGTGTGTTCAGCTATGCATTATTTTTTCTCTTTTATACCCTGAGTTAGTTAATGGCTTGTGAATTGTGGCTGACATGAAATCAAACCCCGTTACAGATAAGTGTTTGACTGTTGGTGTTTCCTGTTTTACTAATGAGACTTTTCTTGCTTTGAAATTACTGCCGTTTTTGTATCCAGTGTAGTGTTGTGCAGCCTCGAAACCAAAAGAGAATCTCTTACAGGCTCCAAGAATAGGCTACATAGGACGACAACACAACAGTTACAGAAATATGAACATGCCATTTTATACCAAGGGGCCATCTGTTTTTTAAAAAAAACAACCCAAAAATGTAGAACATCTTGCATGATAAATCCTTTAACCCAACTATTTTTGCGTGACAGCAGATGACTCTTACATTCAAGAATTACTTCCCCTCTCTCCAGTGGTGCCAGCAATTTGGAGGAACTTCAGAAAAGGTTGGAGGCTTTGTTGATGATCCGTAGAGAGAAGAGTGAAGTTCTCACTGAGCTGCCACCCAAACAGAGGCAGAGGATTTTGTTTGAGCTCAAACAGTCGACTATGAAAACGGTGAGTCAAAATAATTGTCCTGTGTAGTTAAAAAATTAATAAAAGTTAATTCAGAGCTATCTAGATGTTGTCTAAAAAAATTTGAATAAGATTTTAGGAAAGCTGATATGGGTCTTTGCCCGAAACGTGAAAATCATTTTTTTTTTTTTCAGTTGAAGCTATCTCACAAGTTTTGTTGGATTTTCTCAAATTATTGAGCCTTTTTCTGCTTCAACAGTTTATACACATGGGATTACTACTAAATATTTTCTTGTAAGGAGATAAGTTTGGTCAATATTATCGTGTGAAGAAAAAAAAATAAGAGAGCCTTAGATTTTAGGTCTTTTTTTATATTAAAAAGCTGTCCTGTGAGAAAGTGTCCTTAAACGGCGGACACACTGAGCTGTCTATAAATGCACACACATGCTGAACTGACCATAAATTAAGACGCATATTGCAGTTTCAGGAAATGCATATACATATTGAAGTTTCAGGAAATGCAGACACATACAGCCCATGAATACACCAGCATCCTAGGTGTAGTGATTAGACTCTTTGCCATTGTCCGCTTAAGATGGGAATGTGATTCCCTTGTTGGGAGGTTTTTATTGAGTATCTCCATCTGTGTGCCGGGATGTTGGATCCCTCTCAGCCCAGGCTGGCCTTGACAGGCAGAGCTGAAAATAGGTCGCCTCTTGAATTATCTAAAATGTGTCAAGGGGAGCGTAAAACACTAATAATTTTTTTTTCCGTCCATAAATATAGACTTATGTTGTTATGTATTAAAGTGTCCATGATTGCAGAAACATTTAGATATAATTCTGTGTGTGCAGGAGATCCTCAGCACTTTTGCTAATCTCAAAAGCCAGCTGTGTCGGGGAGACAAAACGGTCCGGAAAATTCTCCATGGCCAAGCAGCCTCTTCTGAATTCCCTACACAGTTAGATGAAGAAGGATCCAGGAGGGATGATGAAGGTCAGAAGTCAGACGAGGCATCGGTCAGTGTGTTCAGCGAAGTGTCACGGTTGTACCGCATGAGTGGTCAAGCGAAGGTTTGTTATGCTCTGTGGTGGGATGCATTTTTAGTACCATATGGTTAGTCCTTCCTGCACTGTCAGACTCCAGTAAACATTTTTGAAGAACTAAATTTGTGTCTGTGTGTGTGGGGAGGGGGGGCGGAGTGTTTGCGGGTAATGAAGAAATAGCCAAGTACTAGAGGGAGCTGAAATTTATCGATAATTGTTGCAAATTTATTTTTTTTTGTGAGAAAAAATTGCTTGCTATCTGCTAGTTTGAACATGTGAATTTTGGTTGAGAAACTTATCAAAATTGACTCTTTGTATAAATTCTTTGTAATAATATCAATGGAAAAATAGCTTAAGATTTGCTAGACTAGACTTGATGTTGTCTTCATAAACTTAACTTTTTAGTGAGTTTGATTTCAATAATTTAAGAAAAGAAAGATATGTGAGAAAAAGAAATGTTTTGGAGTCTCAGATTTTACAAGTTTATTCTTTACACTGTCCTTAGGAACAGGTAGTTGGAGGGCTTCATTGGTGTAGGTACTACTTCTTGACCATTTATCTTTTGTCTCTGTCTGTCCTAATCTTGCTCTTTCCCTGCACACAATGACTTAGTGTGTCAATGTGCTTCTCTGTACTCAAACACACAAATAGATCTTTCGTATGTTCCATTGGCAGATTGGCCCAGTGCGAGAGTATCTTGAGATGCTGTGCGAGAATTCAAAGCTCAAGTTTCTTGTGTTTGCCTACCACCACAACATGATGGACGGAATAGCGCAGACTCTCTGGGACAAGAACATTAAGTTTGTCCGTATCGACGGCCATACCAGAGCGGCTGACAGACAGGTGAGTAGAGCTCTGTCTTGAGGGACGAACCAAGTGAGACCTTCAGTATGGCTAGAAGATGCCCGTCATTAAATTTGGATCTGGACTGTCTTGTTTAAGTTAAGGTGGAGAAGAGCTTTTCCCTGGGATATGCACTACTAAAAGGACTGGTGGTCCACTTGAACATCTAAAAAAAAAGCTCAGGGAAGCTGTGGGATAATTCTCTCAAAAATTGACCAAACTTTGGCTGCTCTAACAGTAAACTTTGATGTTAAGTTGGGCAGCAAAGTATCATCCTGCAGGCTTCAACTGGTCGGCAGCCTTCGAGTTTGAGACCTCTGGTTTGAGGAATTGGAATGGTACCGAAATAACACCTCACCTGTCTATAAGATGAGCTTCCCTGATAGCTGCCTCATTGTTGGTTTTACCACTAACCAGTATCCATTGAAGGTAGAACTAGGCTAAAAGTTTGTGCTGAAAATGGGAAAATGTACTTTTATGTGTTTTATTAATCACCATGTTGTGTGGAAATTTTTTGATCCAGATTTCATAATTTTGTCTTAAAGTTAGTTTTAATATTAATTAAAGTGGTAGGTTGTCTTTTATTTTTTTTTTCATTTTGGATGAGTTTGAAAGGTTCCTACTACAAGACATCTTTTTGATATATACATTGTACCGCGGTGTATTTTTCACTCAACCCCAGGCCTGTGTCAGTCAGTTCCAGACAGACCCTGAGACACGAGTGGCTATTCTCAGTATCCTCGCAGCAGGAGTGGTTAGTACTGTTTGTTTTGTGTTGTTTTGGGGATCAGGGGGGAATAATGGTTAACTCTTTATCTCCGAGGGGGGTAAACCCACTACGCCAGGGCACTTTTTTGGTGCTAAATCTAAAAATGACACAAAAACGTCAATAAATGGTTCATTAAATCGAAACTAGCAAACCTATTTTGATAGTTTTTCATCTAATGAATGAACTTCCAGTATAAGAGACCTGTTTTCAACAACTGCCGAAAAGTAATTTGATGTCGAAGTCGCCGTAAAGGAATGTGCCCGAGCCGCTGGGAGTGGCTTGCCGGAGATAAGGAGTTGAGGAGAAATTTTACTTACTGATTCTTAGTATACATCGAAGGCTATAGTATTCTTCATTTGTACGCTCTCAATTTTGTCATCCAACTCTTCAACATCGCAAGTTTCCCTTTAATTCCACTCCTCATACAACCTATTTTGATAAAATAAATACCAAGCTGGGGAGAAATGAATGCTACATGAAATAAATATTATGTTTCATTATGGATAATTAACATGGTTTTGCAAGGATTTTTGTAAAGATTAAACAACTGAGTGCCACTTGAATTTTGTGTGCTGGGCAACAGGCACTAGCAATGTTGGCATCACCATATGTCCTCAGGGTCTGACGTTCACTGCGGCCAAGCTGGTAGTGTTTGCCGAGCTGTACTGGACCCCCGGTGTGATGCTACAGTGTGAGGACCGGGCTCATCGCATCGGTCAGACCAGCTGCTTGCCCGTGCATTACCTCGTTGCCAGGGGAACCATGGATGAATGGGTGTGGGCAGCAGTCTGCAAGAAGGTGAGGAAATCAGTTTATGTGGCATCTGTTAAGGGTTTTTGGGTTTGATGGGTTCTGTATATTTGTATATATGGCAGCCAAATTACTTTTTCTTACTATATTAGTCCACTTCTATTTCTCTTAATCCTGTCAGACCTAACCCCTTGAACCTAACTTCCCCCTATACCTGGCCTCCTGATCAAAAGTGTGCAGAAATGCATGTGGTTCATCATCACCACTATCGTCCAAGTCCATGCTTTCATCACTAGATATCTACCACTATCACTGCTCTCGAAGTCATGATCAAGATCTCCTTCATAATCGGATAGGTCTTCAAGCACTTCTTGTGTGGTAAACAGTTGAGACCTAGCCCTCTTTCCTATCGAAGTGCTTGGTTCATCAGCACATCTCTTCATGACGATAAAAATCCAAAATTTAGAAGACAAACTACACTGCAGTCCAACCTCATGAAGTCTACCATTTGCAATGATCAATTCTCGCACAAAATGCGGAGTTTAGAGCTGATTGGCTGGCTATTTTAAAATATGACGTGATTTTATTACGCGGCCTCCCAATTACGGGTCAAGCGGTAATCCGGCATAGTTGATGTTTTGAGTATTCCCAGGTCTGACAGGGTTAATGATGGCATCTTGTACCATATTTTCAATACAGTCATTAACCCACGGGCGATACAGTAGAACTCTGGTAACATGAACTTCACGGAATGTTGCAATGCATAAAATAAAGATATGGGGGGTGGGGGGTGGCGCCACAAGTTTGAAATCGTTTCGTGGTAACAGGTACTTCTTGGTGAAAGGCTTTGGTTGAACAATCTGCTGTAGTTTTCTCAAATAATAACGGTAATATTTCTATTTACTCCTAAGCTCGACACATTTAATGTGTCCTCCACCTCGTCTTCCTCTTCACCATGCTTCCACTCACACTGTACATCTCTACTCTCACTCACAGACAGTGGTGACCAGCATGGCCCTGACAGGTCAGTCACGTCGCTTGGAGCATGCTGAAGGGGACAACCAGCAGATAGAGATACTTTCTAATGCCAGTTTATGGGAACCAAAGGAGGAGCAGGACCTGAATATCTCTGATCTCGTACAGTCGCAAAGGGTAAAGTGTTAATCTATTTATCTTCAGATCTTGTGAAATTGCAGAGGGTAAAGTGTCGAAACTTTTACAGACTTGTTGAAACATCTCAAATGTTTTATAATACCATTTTTTTTTGTTAACTAAATGATGGCCACATTGAACTTGTAAAGGATGTTATGATGAAATCTAAGTTAATCTATTTATCTCGAGCCTGCCGTCATTCTTCAGATCTTGTAAAATCGCAAAGGGTATATTGTTGATACTTTTACAGACTTGTTGAAATATAAAATATTTTGTAATTTCATTTTTTGTTAATTAGATGATGAGAATGGTAATATCGGACCTGCCACTCATCCCAATTTAATTGGGATATCCCGATTTTTCGCCCCAAATCTCAAGCATCCCGATTTTCCCGATTTCGATCAACAGCATCCTGATTTTTTGTTGTTGTGTCTGTTGCGCCCGATTCTTAGAAAAAAATATGAAAAGTTTTGCAATCTCTTTTGCTTGGAAGCACCGCTTGGACTTTTTATCGGCAGGAATTTGGAACGCTGTTTTCTAAAACGTCAATGCCGGATCTAGTAGATCATTCACGCACGTTATCGTCGATTTTGAATTCCGACTTGGATATGCTCAAGATCTACTTTCGCTTTTGTTACCCAGAATTCTCCGATGGTGGCCTGATTATTGTAACAATTATGACATAGGCCTAAGAATAATTTAACCGTTGTCCTGCCTTTCCTTTAAAAGCAAGCTTCCTCCGAGTGCTGGTTAGTCAGGCCCATCATCAAGGCCTGTCTCTGTCAGTGAAACTTTCAAACACTCGTTTGCATCATTTGACATGACCTCGTACTTGTGAATAACGCGTGTGTCAGGGACTGTCGGCTGTTGAGGTCAACATAGTTCGTTCACTCCGGTCGCATTGGTCGAGTTGTTTTTCGGGACTTCACCAGTGTTGACGACCGGGGAGGGGGGGGGTTTGCACTTGGGTTTAAAGTGCGTGCCGAGAAACATGTTCTAATTGAAGGTTAAGGAATAAGACAAAAATAAAATAAATGAACAACACTGGCACAATCTTTTTTTTTAAAAATTTTGTTTTGGGGGGGGGGGGTGGTATATCCGATCGAAGTCAAAGGCTGTTACTGTATGAAAACACGGGGCTTTTTGCATGGATGATTAGAATTATGTGTACGCTATTTTCAAGACTACGAGAATTTCAGCATCACTGCAACCTGTGCTCCCCCATCCTATCCAACACCGACTCGAGTACATAGATCTATATGCTGTCTTTCAGTTTTCCTTCTATTGAGTGGCCCAAACGTGAACTTATTCCTGCAAAAGTTTTGTCTTGCATACTTGCCTCATAAAAGGGAACCAGGACACGCACCCCCCCC